CATATTGCATTTTCGCCATTTGTGATGTAAAATAGAGCTGCCCCTGTATCCCTCCTGCTTGCCTAGGTCTGGGTCTGCCTGGGCCTTTTGTCCATTCTCTCTGCTGAGGTCAAACATTCCTGCCAGAGACCTGGGTGGCCAAGCCCCCATGCGCTGCCCTCCCAGGCCATTCTCTGGTCACTGGCTCAGGCTTAATCCCTTGCCTGGGCTTGGGCCCCGGGACTGATGAGTCAACACCAGTTTGGCTCTGGACAAACACCCCCTTTTTTGCCCCCACCCCTGTTCAGTCCATCCTGTTCTCCAGAAAGGGCCCAGCCTCTGCTGGTCTAGGGGCGAGTCTGGAGAAGCCCTGTCTGACGGCACTTCCTTAGATGCTGGGAATATTCCGTGTACATGGGAGGCAAAAGCCCCATGCGGCCGTTGAGCACTTGAAATGAGGCTAGTGCAAGTGAATTTTTAAATTTATTGTTCATTTTTATTATTATTTATATAAATATATGATATGTTAATATCCATGTGATTAATTTAAATTTAAACAGCTGCATGTGGTTGGTGGTAATTGCTTCGAGTGACTTGGGAAAATCAGATTGGACCCAGGCATAGAGGAGAAGTGGACCACCCAGGACCCTGGCCTCTCCCCCCAGGCAGGGGCAGCTGGGGCCTCAGGGACTGAACTGGGTGTGTGGGGGTGTCCCCTGGGGTCTGCTCTGTTAATGGGGCCAAGCATAGGTTTTGGTCCCTGTGGCCAACCTCCTACCTGCCCATCATCTTGGTCTGACCCCAGTGTGGTGGGCAGAATCATAACCTGGACTGATCCCTTAATATTGGGAGTGCCCAGCTCCAGCACCATGGTCCAACCTCTCTCAGATCCCACCTCTCCCTGTGCCCATCCCTGCTCCCACCTACACTGTTCCAGAGGAACTTAGGATGGGGGGTTAGGGTCACATCTAATTTGCTGAAAGGCAAGGGCAACGCACTCCTCTTTCCAACCCAGAGAAGTCAGAGGCCATAGCTGTCCTGGTCCTGGTCCCTCTAAGCATTGAGCTTGGTTACAGGGACTTTGTTTTTGCAGTGACCCCAGGCCAGGGAAGCAGGGGCAAGAGGGAGAATGCACCAGGAGGAGGCCAACCAAACCCAAGGTACAACCACAGGTGGGCCCTGCAGTGGGCTAATGGGGGCCCCCCAAAAAAGGTAAGTCCAAGTCCTAACCCCCTGCAATCTAGGAATGTGACCTTATTTGGAAAAAGTTTCTTTCTAGATGCAAATAAGTTAAGGATCTCAGGATGAGATTGTCCTGGATTTAGGGTGGGCCCTGCATCCAATGACAGGTGTCCTTATAAGAAAAAGGCAGAAGGAGATTTGCAACATGGAGACACACTGAGAAAAGAAGGCCATGCAGTGACCAGCACAGCTAGAGATGGAGAGATGAGATCTGATGATGCAGGCAGGGGCCACAAGCCAAGGAATGCAGGCAGGCTCTAGATGCTGGAAAAGGCACGGAAATGGATTCTCCCTTCAGAGGTTCCAGAGGGAGCGAACCCTGCTGACACTCTGACTTTAGCCCAGTGAGGCTGATTTCACATTTTTGATCTCCAGAATCGTCAGATAATAAATGCGTGGGTTTTTTGTTTTGTTTTTTTTTAAGGCCACTAGAGCATTAGTAGGAAATTAATACGCGAGGTTCCTTCCTCCCTGTCCCAAGGTGGGGGGGGGCACTCTGTGCTGCCATCAAGGTAACTTGGGGCGTGAGGAAGGTCATGGGTGAAAGCAGGAGAGCAGGGGCTGGGGGAACATGGAGGAACCTCAGAGACACGATGCTCAGTGAGAGAAGCCAGTCACGAAAGGCCACGTTGCATGTGATTCCATTGATATGACATGTCCAGACTAGGTAAATCCATAGAGACAGAAAGCAAATCAGTGGGTGCCAGGGGTTGGGGGACACACGGGGAGGGACTGCTAAAGGTTACGGGGTTTCTTTTTGGGGGGATGAAAATGTTCAAAAAATTGGTGGTGGTGGTTGTACCATTCTGCGAATATACTAAATGGCACTGGCTCACACACTGTATGTGGGTGTACTGTATGGTGTGAGAATTGTCTTAATAAAGCCGAGTCATCACTTTCCTCCACTGCACCATCTCAAATGTCACCCTCTCCTAGAAGTCCCCTGGAAAACGATCCCTCTCTCCTAGCTGACACTATTTACCCATTTAAAAAAAATTTTTCCCAATGTGATTTCTTGAATTATTATGGTCAGATATACATAATATAAAACTTATATTTTACTAACTGGAATTAAGATTAAAACTTGAAAAAAAAAAAACCTTACCATTTTAACCATTTTTAAGCATATAGTTCAGTGGCATCAAGTACATTCACGATGTTGTGCAATCCTCACCACCATCCGTCCCCACAACCTTCTTTCTCATCTTGCAGAACTGAAACTCTGTCCCCGTTAAACATTAACTCCCCATTTCCTCTCCCCCTCCCCCCGTACCCACCCTTCCACTTTCTGTCTCTATGAATTTGACCATTCTAGGTCCTTCATATAATTGGAATCAAACAATATTTGTCCTTCTGTGACTGGCTTCTTCCACGGAGCACAATGTCTTCAAGATTCATCCATATTGTAGCATGTGGCGGAACCCTCTTCCTTTTTAAGGCTGGACAATATCCATGTTATTCCCATTTTAAAGGAGGAGACACTGTGGCCATACACACTGCAGGGACACTACAAGGTGGCAGGGCCAGAATTCACACCCAGGCGGACCTGACTCTAGCACCCACTGCTCACCACTCTGTCACCCAGCCCCCTCCCAAGCGCCACACTGACTCCCGGTGCACCCTACCTTTGCTCCCTCTCTCTTCCCTCCTGAGAGCTCCTGGGGCTCAGACAGCCTTTTACTCACCTTTGGACCCTGATCCCACCTGCAGCGCCTGGTGGAGTCCCAAAGCTTGTGTGGAAGTGACTAGACCTGGGCGTGGACTGGGGGTCTAGGTGCGCAGTGCCTGGCTGTGCAGCCTCCTGGATCAGGCCCCCCCAGGCTCAGCCTCTTGTTCCATCAGTGCTGCCCAATGACAGGTTACTAGCTGCACACCTGTACATAGCCACGCTGCTAAGGACCCCTGTGGCCCTCGAGATTCCCAAATCCAGGAGGTTCCTGAGCTGCACTCTGAGAAGGGACAGGGACTTAGAGGCAGCCCTAGGACAAATGAGACGTGGTGTAGAAAGCAGATTGGAGGTTGCCAGGGGCTGGGAGAGGGAGAAAGGAGGGACTGCTTGATGGATATTGGTTTTCTTTTGGGGTGATAAAAATGTTCTGGGACTAGATAGTGGTAGATAGTTGCACAACCTTGTGAATATACAAAAAACCATTGAATTGTACACTTAAAAATGGTTAAGATAACTTTTATGTATATTAACCATGATTTAAAAAATGTCCCATCCTCTCTAGCTTCGGCACCATCCCGGGGCGCTCATGTATTCCAGAGCCCACATTAAGGGCCACTCGTGTCCCCACAAGGGTCTGGACTTTGGATCCCCTCACTCTCAACCCCCTCTTTACCCCATCATTTCTTGGTGTCATACTGAGCTATCCAACTGAGGACATTTTCCTGCAGGATGGATGCGTTCTGAGGATATCTGCATTTGGGTCCAGTTTTTTTACTCAAATAAACGCATTGCTAATGGTTGAATTTCCTGTGGTAGGGGCCCATCTGTGGGGGAGATATTCAGAGATGTGGGGGTGGTTTCTGGAGTCTTCAAAAATTACCTCACCACACGGCAGCTTTGGCTTGGTCCTTTCCGCAGGGCAAGTAGGAAGCAGCAGATAGAGGCTGAAGGTCCTGCCCCTGGGACTGACCTCTCACCCCCCAGAGATCCCATGGACTCAACCCATCCTTCTAGTACCTCCTTAGCCCAGAACAAAACGCCTGGATATCTTTACAGTCCAGGCTGGAAAATCATATCTTCTGGGAAATTCAGCTACAGTCCCGGGCAGAAGAAGGCACTGGAGAACTAGGGTCCTGGGTTTGAGTTCCTTAGTAGCTGTGTGACCTTGGGCAAGTTACTTAATCTCTCTGTGCCATAGTGACCTTATCTTTATTTTTTTTTAGATTTTATTTATTTGAGAGAGAGAGAGACAGAGATAGTGAGAGAGAGAGCACAAGTGGGGAGGAGAGGGAGAAGCAGGATCCCCACAGAGCAGGGAGCCTGATGAGGGACTCGATCCCAGGACCCTGGGATCATGACCTGAGCCGAAGGCAGACGCTTAACCGACTGAGCCACCCAGGCGCCCAGTGACCTTATCTTTAAAATGAAGATTAAAATAGTTTTGATCTTAAAAGGTTTTTTTTTTTTTAAGATTTTATTTATTTATTTTACAGAGAGAGATAGCGAGAGCAGGAACACAAGCAGGGGGAGTGGGAGAGGAAGAAGCAGGCTCCCCAATGAGCAGGGAGCCCGATGCGGGGCTCAGTCCCAGAACCCTGGGATCACGACCCGAGCAGAAGGCAGACACTTAAGGACTGAGCCACCCAGGCGCCCCCTAAAAGGTTTTTTTTTTTTAAATTTAGATAATCATATAACATAACGACTAACCGTTTTAACATTAACCATTTTGATGTGTACAATTCAGTGGCACTGAGTGCATTCATAATGTTGGGCAACCACCACCTCTATGGAGTTCCAAACATTTTCATCACTGCAGGGATGTTTTTGAGGATTAAATGTTTGTAAGGCTTTAGAATGGTGTCTGGAACAGTACGTGCCGAGTAAGTGCTCAATAGATGGTAGGAATAATTAGTAATAGAACGGTGCTCATAATAGGTAACACTTGCGGGGCAGTGCTATTATTAATTCGTTTCCCTCCAGCTGGAGGAGGAGGGAGTTAGGTTCTCACTCCACTTTGGGCTGCATTTTCCACTTTGAGCTTTCCGAACCCACCCGGCTGTGCCCCTCCCTCCCCCCGGCTCCCCGCCCCGGCCCAGAGTCCCATCCTCACCGGTTGGGAGCAGGGGAGACGCTGCTGGTAGCGAGGAAACCTGAGGCCTCCCCCTCAGTCTCAGGGCCTCTCTTCTGTTCCTGGGACTCTTCCTGGCCCGCTCCCTGCATCTCCCACGCCCGCTCCTGCTTCCCCAAGCTGTCACCTTCTGTGGCAAAGGAGACATGTGTGTGGGTAGGTAGCCAAGATTCTGCCAGAACCGAACGGAGTGAATTGGAGTGGAAGCACGCCCACATCTGGGAGGAGCTCTGGCGAGCGGACCTCCCCCGCTTGTGAGCGCCCCGCCTCCCACTCTGGGCCGGCGTTTAGTTCCAGCACTCCAGGATCCGCAAGCGCTTGGAAGGACCCCCACGATCTGCCAGCCAGCACCACCAGACTTGTCCACTCAAAGAATCACTTGGGGAACTTGTTGAACAGGCAGATTCCTAGCCTCCTCTGAGCGGTGCCCGGGAATCTGCATTTTAACACGCACTCTGCTGAAAGGAGTCTGAGGAGCTGGAGAGTTTGGGACAGACTGTTCCGCCCCACCTTTCTAGGTGTGAACATCCCGCTCTGTGGTTACTAAATGCCAATTTAACGCCTTCCGTGCTGTAACAACAGCTAAGTGTTAGTGCTCACTACGGGCCCGGCACTGACGCCCAGGACAAGCAGGCGAGTTTCCTTGCTGAGCCCCGGGTACAGCGGAAACATCCCTGGACCCCATCTCCCGCGGTGCGCGGACCCTGGAGTCGTGGACTGTCGTTTGCTGCCACCTTGTGGCAGGGATGGCAACTTTGCGCTCCATTTCCATTCTTGGTAACTTTAATTGAAAGAATGCGCTGACCACCTACTGTGTGCCCGGTACCCAGTAAGGTCCTGGGGTCCTGGGAGCAGATGAATAAGACAGACATGGTCCCTGCCTCACGGAGCTCACAGTCTCCCGGGAGAGTCAATAACGCACATATAAATAAAATGAATGAATAAATGATTACAGAGTGTGACACATGCTAGAAAGGAAACGAACAAGGGCTGGTTATCATAGGATGCAAAGGCCTATGTATTTGCTAAACAGAGCATTGTCACACCCTTTCCCTGTCCAGGACTGTGGGCCACGCGAGGGCAGGTGTGTCTGCCTGATTCCCCTTTGGGAATGGGTGAAGTCACCAGTGCTGGCACATAGTAGATGCTCAGTAAATGTCCAATGAATGAATACACGGAAGACAAGGTTGTCCAGCGCCAGCTTGTTAGCTCTTCCAGGCCGAATAGATGGGGAGCGGGAAGGGAGGGCTTTGGAAGGGAGGCTGGGTCCCTAGGGATCTTGAGAGGGCTAGATGGGTTTGGGTATGAACTAAAAGGAGATGATGGCCAAATGTCACCCTCCCAGGGAGGTCCCGGTCCATCCTGTTTTAAATTGTGCCCTCGGAGCGCCTGGGTGGCTCAGTCGGTTAAGCCGCTGCCTTCGGCTCAGGTCATGATCCCGGGGTCCTGGGATTGAGCCCCACATCCGGCTCCCTGCTCAGCGGGAAGCCTGCTTCTCCCTCTCCCTCTGCCTGCCTCTCTGCCTACTTGTTCTCTCTCTCTCTGTGTCAAATAAATGAATAAAATCTTTAAAAAATAAAATAAAATAAATTGTACCCTCACTTCGTTCACTTCTTGAACCCTTTCCCTGCTTACCTTTTCTCCTTGGTATTTTTCACTATCTCACATACTATTTACTTCCTTATTTGTTTAATGTCTGGCCCCCCCATGAATGTAAGCTCCAGGAGGGCAAGGATTTTTGTGTTTTGTTCACTTAATGACTCTCCAGCACCTGGAAGGACATGACACTTAGTAGGTGCTCTGTAAACCTACGCAGAGTGAATGAATGATGCATGGGTGGGGCTTAGGGCAGAACCAATATGGCTCTAGGAGTAGCCCATGGAAGGGGCGGGGCTCAGAGACTAGGCGATCAGGGTAATCCGAGTATGAAAGTAAATCTTACTAAGAGGGGAGGGGCTAGGCGGGGCAAAGGTCTGCGTGGGGGCAGAGCTAGACTGGGGGTGGAGCCTTGGGGGGGTTCTTCCTGGGGCTGGGCCATTTTCGAGGCTTGCAGTCTTGGGGTGGGACCAGTATGGGGGCGGGGCCTACCTGAGGCGTGGCCAATCTGGAGGAAGGGCCGGCTGGGGCGTAGTCAAACGGGGGATAAATAAAGGAAGGGAGGGGCTAAGACTGGGGCGTGGCTAGGGCAGGACCAGCCCAGGGCCCGAGAAATCTGGGCGGGGCGGAAGCAGGGTGGCATGGGCGGGGCCAGGATAGGGGCGGGGCTAGGCCGGATTCTCCGCTGTCCCAGGTCCTGGAGCACTCCCGCCAGCCAGGTCTCGCTCCCGCCCTGCAGGCCCCTCCCTCGCTGGCCGGGCCCCAGGAAGCGCAAGGCCGGACGCCCTAGGCTGGGCGGCCGCGGTCGGGCCTCGCCCCAGACGCTGCGCTCCGGGCCAGGCGTCCGCTGGGGGCCCTGGAGGACTCAGCTCCGTACTGCCCCCGGGGCTACGTCCCCGGAGACTCCGAGGGTGAGCAGGGCTGTGGGTGCCTGCGAGTGCATACGTGTGTGCGTGCATGTGCATACCGGTGTATGTGCGAGTGTGTGGACGTTTGTGCGCACCAGGAGAATTGTGTGCGTGCGTGGAGTTGGGTAGGTGTGAGCTCCAGGGAGCTGAGTGTGTGTGCGAAGTTGCATGTGTGTGCAAGGGCAGTCCCGTGTGGGAGGTGGGTCGTGCATGTGTGTGCCTGTGTGTGTGTTACAGAGACAGTGCCTGTGAAATTTAGTGAAGACTGTGTGTGTATGTCAGGGTATCTTGGAGGAAAATGGGAGGGCAGGTGCAATGATACTTGGGGATCTATAGGGTCAGGATGTCTGTGGCGAGCTGTGGGGTGCGTGGGTGGGTGATGAATTGTGGGAGTATAAGAATTGCAAAGGTGTGTTTCCATGTGAGTGACAATGAGGGGTACTGCTGCGGGCCTCAGTGTGAAGGGGTGGGGACCGAGGAAAGTTTGGGTACTGATTGCTCTTTGAGGGATGAGTGTGATCTGGAGCAGTGGGTAATGGACAGGGCAGGTGTTTGGGGCCTGGCTCAGAGTAATTTGGTGATCACATCAGCCCCCTTGCTTTGAGGGCTGGGGAAATGTGTGGGTGGAACCTGAAGGGGCTGGGCTTGCCCCTTGCTTGGGGAAGCAGTGGGCAGGGTTCTTGCTTCAGGTGGAGGGAGCTGCTACCTTACCAGTCACCTGTCACCCAGGCTCTGTGCTCACTCCTACCTGGGTGGCTTCTGTTGGTGCTCCTGCAAGAACATGGTGCAGAAGTATCAGTCTCCTGTCCGCATCTACAAGTACCCATTTGAGCTGGTCATGGCGGTGAGTGACCCCTGATTCTCCAGCCCCTTGTGTGATGGTTAGAGGGACACAGGAGGTCAGCTATGCAGGAATGAGAGGAAGCCCCTCAGTCCCCCCAAATGAGAAGGAATTATTGAGCTGCTCCGCTGACCTGGTGGGTCAGGCTTCTCACTAGTGACCCCTCCACCCAATCACCCCAGCCTTCACCACAGCCTCTGGAATCCTTGCCCACTGACCAAATCACAAGATCTTTCTTTCTTTCTCCTTGATGAAGCAGCCTTGTTCTCTCATCTCAAGCTCCTCTAACACGATATCCTTGTTTTCTAACAGAAAACAAGGATATCGTGGGCCAAGCCACTGCTGTCATTTGTGTAATGCTAATAATAATAATAGTAAATATACTAATGATGATGATGGTAGCAGCCATTCACCGAGGGTTTACATGGCCAAGTCTTTACATACATTGTTTCATTTTTCTCATTTTACCTTCACTTAACTGAAGCTTGGAAGGGTGAAGGGGTGGCCCCAAGTTCCGTGGCTGAGAAGAGGTAGAGCCAGGGCTCAGACCCATGCAGGGGGTACTCCTGAGCCATGATTTTTACCACAACACTCCCCCAGGGTCCTCCTTCTGTTTGCACACCGCTTTTCCTTTCCCTCAAGGAAGCTGAGAGGGGACCAGTGTGCAGCAAGGGCAGTCATTTTCAAGGTGGGTTCAGACTCACTCTATGTAAGTCAGGCAGCCAGTCAGTTGAGGGACTAGAATTGACTCCCAAGCTCTTGGCCTCCTGAATCAATGGTCTTTGCACCAAGGGGCAGGTGCTGTAAATAGGCAGATGTACCTTTCCTTCTTGGGACCATCCCTCTGCCTCTCAGAGGTCTCATTCCTTGGGGAAAAGGGAGCAATGCTATGGGCTTGTGATAGGAGTGAATGAGAAATGTGTAGCGCCTCTGGCCCAATGCCTGGCACAGAGTCAGCACTCACGAAATGTGGTTGTCCCTGCTCTTCCACCACAAGGTGTTATAAATGATTGTATTGAAAGTGCAAGAAACACTGGCATCCACCTGCATCCTCCCCATCCCAGCCTGGCTGCTTAACTTCAGCCATTGATTCAAGGACTTTAATATCAATTGGTACCTCTGTGGATGTGTGTCCTGCCTGATCTTATTCTACAAAGCTACCTATATATGTGTTTATAATCACATAATGGATTTTAAAGCATCTGGAGTCATTCATACATGTTGTGTTGTTATGTGCAGATGATTCCAGGGCAAGAGGCAGGGGGCAGGCCTGGGGTTGTATTGACCAGCTGGGTGACCTTGGGCAAGTTACTTAACCTCTCTGAGCCTCTATTCCCCATCTCTAAATGAGGAGTAGGTGGTTTCCAAGTCCGGGCTTTGTACCATGGATTAAATGAGTTGATATATGTAAAGCTCCCAATGCAAGGTCTGGCACAGACCAAGTGCTGTTACTGTTACGGTTGTTGCTGTGTGTGGCTGTGTGATGAAGGTGGGACACCCTCCCTCCCGTAATGAGGGTGGGACACCAGGGGATGATGAAGAGTCAGAAGCGCTGGGTCCTTGCTGCAGCTCTGCTGAGCTCTGGCTGTGTGCTGTTGAAAAGTTATTGAATTTCTCTGAGCTTTGGTTTCTTCATTTGTGAAATGGGGATGGTTATATGCACTTCACAGAGTTGTCACGAGGATGTTATAAATATATATATTATAATATA